ACAAATAAGATCTGGAGTTGCAGACAGGTTTTCTATTCAGTTTAGTATCTGCTGTGTTATGGACCTTGTGGTCATCACTTTATTTCTTTTCAAGCTGCATAGTCACTCTAATATTGATTTGATGACTTAATCACCCATCTACCAACTTGATGAAGTGTTTGATTAAAGCGGTAAAGCCTTTGGGGTTCTATGCATCATCGTCCTAGTATATTGACTATATTCATCTAACTCTAACTTGAGAAAACTTGCTATGATGCTTTTGCTTCTGGATATTTTCTCACAGTTCACATTGTACATACATTGTAGGAGATATTGAAGATGCTACTCCTGTCAAATATCAAGGCAAATCTTCTGCATCAGTTTTGCCATATGTTGGTGTTGCTTGTTTAGGAGCTATTTTGTTTGGATATCACCTTGGGTATGATTACTATGATCTGTTGTTAAGCTTCATTACTGGTGAAACAAGTACTTTCATGGATACTTTAGGAATCGGGTTACACTCTATAAACCTTATTAATATTTCTTTTCACATTGTTATTCTTGCAGTGTGGTAAATGGAGCTCTTGACTACCTATCTGCCGATCTGGCTATTGCCGGCAATACTGTTTTACAAGGCAAGTTGTCATAGAACATAAATGTGAAGCATGGTATACAGAAATTCTTATTGGGAATATGTTTAAGACTTTAAGATCATTTTAGCATACCATGATGATAATATTGTATCCGATTCAGATCATTATGAAATCATAATGCTGGTTCTAATTTTAAAACAATGTTGTTGCTTTCCTGCAGGATGGGTTGTGAGCATATTGCTTGCAGGTGCGACTGTTGGTTCATTTACTGGTGGATCCTTGGCTGATCAATTTGGAAGAACAAGGACTTTCCAGTTAGATGCAATTCCTCTTGCAATCGGAGCTTATCTCTGGTTTGTACACAATCCTTTAAGGTTTAAATATTTTTCCTTCTGCAACTCACTTGTAACACCTCTTTCCTGAATCTTTTATAGTGCCACAGCACAAAGTGTGCAAATTATGATGATTGGCCGTTTACTTTGTGGCATCGGAATTGGCATATCATCTGCCTTAGTTCCATTATACATATCTGAGGTAATAACCTCTATGCTTCCTAAATTTTTAGCTTGTCGGTTTACAGAAATTGAACAGAGATAATTTCTGTTTTGCAGATCTCACCCACTGATATTCGGGGTGCACTTGGTTCTGTCAACCAACTTTTTATATGCATTGGGATTCTTGCTGCTTTGGTTGCTGGATTGCCTTTAGCAGGAAACCCTTTGTGGTACTACCTTGATATCCCTATGTTGTTTGTGTTTGTCAAACTGCTCTTGCTTAAAAGCTTTTCAGGCTTCCGTTATTTTAATCAAAATTGAAGTCATTAATTAAATTTGCTGGCCACTTTTAATGTGATATCACTATTGTTTTATACTTTTATATGTTCATCACCTCAGTTTTTCTATCATTTTGATGATTTTATTTGTTGTCTCTTTCTTTCTTTACAGGTGGAGGACAATGTTCGGTATTGCAACAGTTCCCTCTGTTCTCTTGGCTCTTGGGATGGGCTTCTGTCCAGAAAGCCCTAGGTGGCTTTTTCAGGTGCTCTAATGTTTACTGTTTAGAATATATGTTTTCTCTATACCATATTTAGACTTTTATCCATATTTAGGGGGTTCATAAGTTGCTTAGCTGATACTTTAATTTTGCAGCAAGGAAAAATTGCTGAGGCACAAAAGGCTGTAGCAGCACTCTATGGAAAAGAAAGGGTTCCGGAGGTGATCAATGATTTGAGAACATCGGTGCAAGGTTCTTCTGAACCAGAAGCTGGATGGTTTGATCTGTTCAGTAGTCGCTATCGGAAAGGTATATTAAGGAAGTTGGCCTTCTCCCTAGCATCTGCCCCCATTTCTCCTGAAATTGACATTAATATCATAATTATCCAATTTTCTGGAAAAGCTCCTCCCTAGAGCGGGGCAAGGGGAGACATATGTGTACCACTGCTGCTGCAATGTAATAAATGATATTTCTCGTAGACTAATCTAATAATAAAACAACACCCCTTACACCCAAACAAACAAACAAACAAACAAATTAGAGAAAGAGGTGATACTCATGCTAGACTAGTATCTAATATCTATCATCTTTCTTACATGGTATTTAAGACAGTGACACGTAAACCATTTTTTTGAGTGTGTTATTGTTTATGTTCAGGCTTGTATTAGTTTATTCTATAAGTTAATTTATAAGAATTAATGACATTTATTTTTATGTACAGTGGTAAGTGTTGGTGCTGCACTTTTCTTATTCCAGCAAATGGCTGGAATCAATGCTGTAGTATATTACTCCACATCTGTATTCCGCAGTGCGGGAATTGCATCAGATGTTGCTGCTAGTGCCCTTGTTGGAGCAGCAAATGTTTTTGGTATGTCATGATGAACCATTTTGCTTAATTAGTTTTATATACTTTACAACTTTTTTTCTCAAGTCATCTGCTCCTCTTTGTAGGCACTGCTATTGCTTCTTCGTTAATGGACAGGCAAGGAAGAAAGAGCCTACTAATGACCAGTTTCTCGGGAATGGTAAGCTTAATCTGTACTATATGTCATCATCAATAAGGCTCCATTTTGACTTCAGTAATAGAGAATGAACCTTAAGACTGATATGAAATAGAGGGCATTCGAGTATATCACTATACCTTATTGATCAATGATCAAAACAAAGTGTTGCCTGACAGGACCTCTTTTTATATCAATCAAGATAATGAATTTATTTTATTAAAAAAAAAAAATTAAAAAAGGACCTCTCTCCTGCAATTGAACATGAATTGTGGAGGGCATTCAAATATGTTTTGTTAACTGTTTTTTTTCCCGAGAAATTCATTTGGAATACTATTTTACCCTCTTTTGACGAGTTTCTTTTCCTACAGGCTGCTTCAATGTTGTTACTATCACTATCATTCACATGGAAGGCTCTAGCACCATACTCGGGCACACTTGCTGTTGTGGGAACTGTTTTGTGAGCTATTTACCTGTAGAAATATGTAATCTCTGTATTCCTCTTCATTAATTGCACCCAACTAACAATAGATAATACCTTCTTCCCACAGATATGTCCTCTCCTTTTCACTTGGCGCTGGTCCTGTTCCTGCTCTTCTACTTCCAGAGATCTTTGCATCCAGAATTCGAGCAAAAGCCGTAGCTTTGTCATTGGGGATGCATTGGGTAAGTGATCAACAGATAGCAGTATGCTTCAGCATCATGATTCTAATTTATGCACCCACGTATTAACATTTCTTTCTCCTTTCCCAATATAACCTCCATCTCCATCTGCAGGCTTCAAATTTCGTGATTGGTCTTTACTTCTTGAGTGTGGTGACCAAGTTTGGGATCAGCAAAGTCTACCTGGCATTCGCGTCAGTTTGTCTGCTAGCCGTCTTGTATATTGCTGGTAACGTTGTCGAAACAAAAGGACGGTCACTTGAGGAAATAGAGCTCGCTCTAAACCCGTCTGTTTAATATGGAGGAATCAGTTTTTGATCTAGATGCTAGAGAGAATAAAGTTAATAATTCCCAGATTTAGGAGTGTGATGTTAGTTCTCTTGCTCATGTGTACATTGATGTCCAAACTCTCAGAACCCTCTAAAGGTTCTATAAACAGCTGTAGTAGTAGAGTTTGGAAATTTAATCACTAGTTGCTTCTGGTTCTTTCACCTTATGCATCCACAGTTTATTAACTCTTGCTTGCAATAGCTCTTGTTCACTTAAAAAAAAAAACTCATTTTAAATATTTAAAAGAAAATAATTTGTATGAAAACAAGATCATAAAAAAAAAATACTACCTCCGGTCCAAATTACTCGCAACTTTGAAATATTTTATATCTCACAAATAATACCCCAAAGTTGCGAGAGTATTAACATGTATTTCCTCTGTTGTTTTTACTTTACCTGTTTCTTTATCATGATTGTCAATGTAAAAGTTAAACGAACAAGACGGTCAAAGGAAAAGTAGCAAATTATGTAAAAGTCAAAACGGGTCAAGTAAATAAGAACGGAGGAAAAAATTTATGTTAGCAATGTTCTTGGAAATAATTACTCCTATAGCAATGTTCTCCTATCGACTCTTTAGATAACACGTTTCTTTAGTCATATTTACCTATATACAACTTCAACCGATATACTGATAATTAACGATAAACATATGCTCAAAGCAAAGGTAGTATGTAACAAATGAAACATAATACCAAAAGAAAATTTGAGACTATAATTGGTGGGGTGCGCCAGGCCCGTGCAGTAGTGCAACGCATGGGCGACGCTTGAAGACCCCAGTAGCAAGCTACTATGGTGGGACTTCCCCCTTAAAAAATAAATTTAATATCGTTGTGGGCCATTGGCCCACGTATCAGATATTAAACTGATAAGAACAGATACTACACTTGATCTTAGCCAAAAGGCCGAGAAAGGTATGCTTATTCTGGTAATGAAATTTGCCTTTTATATTCCCCTCATTACACATACTTGCTTCCTGCTACCGATGTGGGACAACTTTGATTGTTAAACATTTCTACCACTGTAGTCTATTCTGTAACATCAAGCTATTTCTGTGAACTTATCCTGTCATGCTATTTCTGTTAACAAGTAAATTGATTACTCTATATACTTATTTACTTTACATTCTTCTTTAACGCTTAATGATCTACCAGACTACCTAGATGCATGATTTGATCTAACTAGTAACTACAGCAAATCGAATGTTGAAGTCAGTAAAAAAAATGTCCCAACTTTCGTATCTGGTTTCCATAAACCCTCTTTTTGCATCTCTTAAAAGAAAGAAGTAATATGTATTATGTACACTGTAATTGTAGGAGGATATATATTGTACTGAGTATAAACAAATTCTCTGTTTTCAAATTTCCTGAAAAAACGATAAGGATTGGCTGGATGCTTGAAAGAGAACAATGAGTATTTGATTATTTAAAGCTTAAAACGAGAATCAGCTCAGAAATAGGAGAAAATTGATTCAACAAATAATAATACGTTGTAATAACAAATTGATTCTACAAATGATTTGCCAGTGCTACAACCTATTCATCCTTAACTAGGATATACAAAAGCTCTTTGCTCCTCTCCATAACCTACACTGCTACACAGCCACTACAAAGAACAAACCCCTTCCCTTGATGCATAACAGTTCCGTCCCACTCTAGACTACTGGTGAGTAATCACTAGCAAAGACTAAAGAGTATTTGCAAGTGCTCTATCCTAATTCATCCAGAGTAATCCCAGTAGTCATCGACAAATGCAGACTGCAGGATCATCCCCAACTAAGCTGTAGAACATGAACAATTAAAATGCTTAGAATCTGCCATGCTGAGACCAGAATTGATATGCTTCTTATCCATTTGAGTAACTCCGTAAATTCTACATGTTGGCCTTTCTTTCCCATCGTTCTTTGGCGTCTAACCTGTCATCCAAACCAAAAGATCAATGTTATAAATGGTATATATCATTACATCTCAAGTACAAAGTAGATGAAAGAATTGCTATTAGCAGCAAAACAATTTACTGCAACATGTGAATCATTACCCCCAGTGCAACTTCTTCTTCTTCAACGCAGGATGCACATCACCACGAGAAGTTGATGACAAGACCTTGTTATCATCCTCACCTTTTGGACTACATTTAACACCTGAATCTTTCAATCCCTCATACTCATCTACATGGTCATCCACAGACCCTTGTGTATCAAAATCCTCGCTTACAAATTTATCTTTCTTATCTGCAATCTAACAAGTAATGCACAAATTTCTTTAAACATCCCAATTTTAATATAAAAAAGTGATAGCTCAAAGTCATAACCAGGAGGTACAGGACATAATGAATGATGATAGACCTTTACACTTTCTTTTGTTCTTAGACTTTGTTTGAATTTGCAAGCGTCTTCTTTGTAATTCCTACAAGATGTACAGTCCAAGATATACTTACACCAAGCAATCGCAACATCGAAAATGAAAATGCACATGAATTCAAAAGAGGGGGGGTGTAACGGAACCAAGCAACCTAAAAAGTTAGAACAACACAATTCACTCTTCCATGCTCCATGAAATTGGGATTGTTGGGTCTTATAATTCCACTATTTAATCACACTTTCCTTAATTTTGCAATCAAGGAGACAAATTCCAAACCCTAGATTAAATCATGATCACAATAACAATTCATGACAAGCTAAACAATTTACCCCTAAAGTATATCCCCAGAAACATACATATTAAATTTAACAAGTTTAAAGGGAAACCTGAAATTGCAGAAACTATAATCAAACATCAATTAACAAAGTATGTAGTTATATACGAAGTACAACTATACTCAAATCAAATGAAACCCTATTTTCAGAAATCCCCAAAAACAAATCAAACACAGCAGAAATCACTAATCAAGCATCAACTAATACAATTTAGTGATTTACTATGGTATTGATATCATAAAGCCCATTTTACTAACATCACAAAACACAAAATTAACAAATTGTGGAAAGTTATCAGCCCTTGAAATCAATATTATTTTCTGGGTTTTTGATTAAATCTCAAGTAATCAAATTTCTTAACTTGGGGCAAAAAATAAAAAGCAGGGTTTGAGAAAAATACTCGAAATTTGGCGAGACGATCTTGGGAAATTGCAGATGATTTGAAACTGGGATTTGACGCAATTGATGCTTTGCTTCTTCCATCTCCCTCCATTTTTTCTCGATTTTAGTCGCCAAATGTATAATACTGGCTTTGGCCCGATCTAGTTTGTTTTAATTTGGACTTTGGAACATGTTATGTGCTTATTTCAATAGGAGCCCATTGAATGCCACCCCCTTTCTCCGAAAGACAATAATGTAAATGAAATTTGATATTCCATAAAGGCATACAGAACTATTTATGAATATTATTCGACGATTATGGTCGAAGATCTGATAATCTTATAAGGTAATTTACAAAGTATTTCGAAAACATGACGAAATTTATGAAAGAATAGAGTTCGCTTAATACAAATACAACTCTTTAGGGCTTGTTTGGCATTGTTTTTTGTTTTCAGTTTTCTGTATTTTTGAAAACAAAAAACCAAAAACAAAAAACAAGAAAAAGGTGTTTCCACTTTTCTGTTGTCAGTTTTCAAATTTATCATGATTTTAATAAGTTTGTCAAATTTTTGTTTTATAATATGACATATATCATATGACTTTGAAATCTAAAAAACCAAAAATCAGAAAACTACAGTGATGTCAAACGAATCCTTAGTTGTCTGTTTCGATTCAGCTATATCGATTCATACGATCAACTTTAGTGCATTAATGTCTATCACTACAATATGACCATCAAAATTTTGAGCCAAAGATTATTGGGCATGCCCGCAAGAATTGCACAAATGATAGTTTAGATTAATGAAGTCCAAAAATTTCAAACAAAGGGTATATTCTGATTTACTGAACTGATTGGAGCTCAATAAAATTGTTTATAAGAGAAGGAAATTAGGAACTGAACTAAATTGATTGAAGTTGTACTGAACTAAACTAAATTGATTGGAGCTATATTGAAATTAAGTTGAAAAGAACAGGCCCAAAGAGCTCTATATTACAGTTTACATAATGTTGCACATGTAATACACGCACTTATACGTAGCTAATTACTATATTGTACCTTGTATTTTTCATTAAATTTGCAAATATTGTGTATTTACCCTTTAACAATTTCTTTTGTAAACGTGTTTTTAATTTATAGTTCGTAGTTCGTAGTTCGTACCCTTATTTAGGAAAGGGACTTTGGCAACTCGTCAAGGTTTAACTTTGTCCATGTATTATGGTTTCATGCAGATTGCAAAGATTTTTCATGAACTTGTAAACAAAGACATACATGCATCACTTTTGTTCTTTTACGCTTCCAATTTATTGAAGAACTAACAAACTTGAACTATATTTGTATTATTTTAGTTTTACTAATTAGAAAGTTCCCTTCATTTTATTGCAATAAATCGCAGATGGACATGTGGCTAGTTCATTTGGCTTTGTTCACATCCTTTTCGTGAGCCACGCCACTTACATTATAAGAATACAAGGTTCTATGATAACAATCTTGTAAAAAAATAATTTGTCAAATTGTGTTTCGTACTTGGTCCAATAAATGATTATAGTATAAACTTTAGACTTAGTGTAAAACTTACTTTATATATTTATTATAGCAAGTAGAATTGAGATGGTTGTATTTTTTTTTGGATTCAACTTGTTCCATGTTTTGTTTCTTTTTCCTAGTTGTTTAGACATTGACCCAAGAGTTAGGGGTGAGCAAACTTTGTTTATCTAATTACATGGATCTACTAAAACTAATAAACCTTACTGATATATGAGTCTATGAACATGCATATTATGATGGAGTTTGTGATTGATGATACGAACTACTCCGTATATATATTCATAAATAAAATTGATAGCCTAAAAATCTATACACTGTGTTTCAATTTAATATTAATGTACACACGTATATATTTAATTTAAGGGCTAACTATTACGAGTATTGAAAACCTTGGCATTGCATTTCTAAATTGGTAGCACATACTGAGATTAGGTTACGCAGTATAATTTATGACAAAGTAGATACGCGTGCATTATTTAGGGATTAATGTATTTTTGAAACTTTATTTACTTAGACCTACCATCCTATGTTTTGGTCATTGACTTTTCTCATAGTAGGGGGAGTATGAACTACTGTATTACATACAATCAGTCCAATAAGATAAAAAAGCATAGACCATATCAAGTCAATCTCGTAAAAATTACGTACACAAACACCGAACACATGCAAGTCCCCCTAACTTTCGTTGGACTCATCATTTATTCAAAAAGCCGTCCTAGATCTCTTAATTAAGTTAATCCACCTCTTTATAAATCTAGCTATAAAATTAAACTTATGCTTACATAATTCATTATTTCTCAATAGTCAAGATTTATACTAATAAATTCTCATTATGAATGAATAATGAGTAAATTTAATTTCTTCTAGTAAAAAAAAAATATGGCTAAATTAGATCAATTTTTTTTCTTTGCTTTAGGCTTATCTCTTGGCCTTACTATTGGCTTCCTTGATCTCCAAAGCTTGCCTCTCTCTATATCTTCTTGGCCATCTCTATCAACTACCTTGCCATACTTGGCACAACCGGCAAAGCCACCGGCTCAACCTCCACCATCTTCACCACCACCACCGCCGCCTTTGGCCCCGTACCCTCCACCAACAACAAATAGCACTATTTCATCAACATGGAAGGGGTACAACATGGAAGATAACATCAATAAGAGTGTAATAATCCATAATATGAGTGACAAGGAATTGTTATGGAGAGCATCAATGGTCCCTCAAATGGAAGGATACCCTTATGAATACATGCCTAAAGTGGCCTTCATGTTCTTAACAAAAGGGCCCTTGCCATTAGCCCCACTTTGGGACTTGTTCTTTAAAGGTCATGAAGGGTTATACTCAATCTATGTTCATGCTCATCCTTCTTACAATGATTCTTGGCCTCAAAATTCTGTCTTTTATAGTAGACGCATCCCTAGTCAGGTAATTTTACTTTAATTATGTATTATTAATATGTGTTTGTATCTTCTTCCTAAATTCGATGAATTTGTTCACTAGTTTTTCAACTATTGTGAAGAGACATATATAAACACTACTCGTAAAAAGTTTGATACTCCGTGTTTTATTAGATGACTCAAATTGTGTCTCTTGGTCTCAAATTAAAATTGAATTTACCCGTGACTGATTTGAACAACCTGTAAAAAAACTATACTTTCCCAATGAGTATGTCAAAATCAATTTTTAGTGTATCGAAATGGTTTCCTAACTCAAATAGTTTTGAGATTTGTGGAATATTGTATTGTTCTAGTCTCATTTTAGTAGTAGTTGTTTTTTTGGGCTGTTTGTCTCTTTTGGGCTTTTTATATGGGTTATTTTTTATGTCATTGAGTAGACATTTAGGCAACACACTAAATAAAAGGGTCCAAGTCCAACCAAATAAGAATACTATTGGTTTGCTTTTAATGTCTACGTCCTGCGTTAGCAAGCAGGCCGTCCAATTTATACTTCATGTTTTGTCCTTTTTCATTTCATCTTACATGAGTTCTTTAAATAATACTACGTACTTTATTTCTTGTATATTTTTAATACTTCGTAGCTTTATTTAGACTTTTTACTATTCATTAATTCATATACTCCTCACTTTGACTACTACTTCATATATCATTTGCTGTTTTCGTAAAGAAAAATAGAGTCATGTCTTATATTATTATATTCGTTTCGATTTATACTTTTAAAATATTAAAAATAAATAAATATGGTTTTAGCAAAATATAATAAGCATGAAAATTCAAATAAAAGAAGTAAGTCTATTGCGATTAGGGGTAAACAAAGAAGAAAATTCAAAACTAATACGAATTAATTAAGTACAATAATATTATAAATGAGGTCGAGTGGTCAACTACACATGATATATATATATATATATATATATATATATATATATATATATATATATATATATATATATATATATATATATATATATATATATATATATTGAACTGTACTGAACTGGAGACAACAAGCCCTAAGGAGTATTTATTATTTAATGTACAAGTCATGAATTTTCTATTTTCTCTTACAATGAGTAATAACTAATGATAAATTTTATGTCGATAGATACTCCGTACTACATAAGAGAATACAACAATAAAATTAGAAGCAATATTAACTTCTTTTTTTCAATTGCTTTATTATTATCACGCATTTACACACACGTGATAGTGTGAATTATGACTAATAATGCAATACTACTGTACCATCTTTAATCGCATGATTCCATTTTCTTTAGTATAGTTGTAGGAGTAGACAGACTATTTATTGCGCTGGAAATTCCAAAATTATTGGTGAAATATTAATAATAATGTCGACTAAAACTAATGTGCCTCCCTACCACAAATAGTTTAACATATTACGTAATTAAAGTCACAAATAAAAGTGTTAATTTTAAATATTGGACAACTTTGCATGAAAATCATTTTACGGAGTTCTTTATTAGTTAGATTTATTTATTTATTATTTTTACGGAGTATTATTTGGGTGTCGAATATGAAAATATAAACTATTATTAAGTATTAATTCATTGTTTGAATTTTCAGGAAGTTGTTTGGGGAACTATGTCAATGATCGATGCAGAAAAAACGGCTTTTAGCCAATGCCCTCTTAGATTTTTCCAATCAAAAATTCGTTTTATTATCAGAATCATGCATCCCTCTATTCAATTTCACCACAATTTACAACTACTTGACAAATTCTAATGTAAGTTATATTGCTTCCTTTGATGATCCAAGAAAACCTGGTCGTGGACGTTACAACCACAAAATGTGGCCTAACATAACCATTCAAGATTGGAGAAAAGGTTCCCAATGGTTCGAAGCTGACCGTGAAGTCGCCATTCGTATGGTTTCAGACATAAAGTATTACTCTATTTTTGAAGAGCATTGCCATCCACCTTGTTACAACGACGAGCATTATTTTCCAACATTAGCTAATAAACTATTTCCGGATTTAATTGCTAAGAAAGGGATTACTTGGGTTGATTGGTCACATGTCGGACCTCACCCTGGTCGATTTATTAGTCGTGACATAACAGAGGAGTTTCTTAACAAAATTAGACTTGAAATATCAAATTGCACTTATAATGGTGAAGTAACATCTATGTGTTATCTTTTTGCTAGGAAATTTGTAGGGGATACATTGAAGCCTTT